GTGGTGGAATCTCCATCCTTAGAGGTTTTTAAGGCCCGGCTTGACAAAACCTTCGCTGGGATGATTTAGTTGGGATTGGTTCTGCTTAGAGCAGGGGGTTGGACTCCTGAGGTCTCTTCCAACACTAATCTTTTATGATTCTATTGCTTAATGAATCCAAATATCTTCAACAGTAGCTAATCTTTTCAAGCTCCCCTATTATTCTCAAATTCACAGCTAGTTCTTCTTTGCTAGTAAGTACTGCACATCGGAACATATAAAAAGAGGAATTGCCTTCTAATAAGAAGTTTATAGGACTTCTCACAGTGGATTAGACTAGTGGTCCGTCTAGTCCAGTATCTTCTCTCAGAGGGGCCTGCACCAGATGCTTCAGGAGAACGTGCAAGAAACCCCATTTGCTAATCATGGAATAACATCCCCACAGGGGAAGTTTCTTCCTAACCCTTGTCAGTTAGTGGCTGGCTCATGCCATGGAACATGAGGATTTATGATTTTCTATGTCAAGTGTTAGCTCCTATAAACATATTTTTTGGATCTTTTAACAAAAGTGCCAGTGAAGAAAGTTTGAGTTTTACAAGTATCAATAATGACATTGCCTTCAAAGGAAATTTTGTTCACTCTGTACTGACAGTATAACACAGGGGTTGGCAACCTTTCAGAAGTGGTGTGCCGAGTCTTCATTTATTCACTTTAATTTAAGGTTTCGTGTGCCGGTAATACATTTTAATGTTTTTTAGAAGGTCTCTCTGTATAAGTCTATATATTATATAACTAAACTATTGTATTGTAAAATAAACAAGGTTTTCAAAATGTTTAAGAAGCTTCATTTAAAATTAAATTTAAATGTCAATCTTACGCTGCCGTCCTGCTCAGCCCGCTGCCGGCCTAGGGTTCTGTTCACCTAGGCCGGCAGCGGGCTGAGCGGGGCCGGCAGCCAGAACCCCAGACCGGCAGTGGGCTGAGCCGCTCAGCCCACTGCCGCTCAGGGGTTCCATCCGCCAGCTCCTGCCAGCCGGGATCCCGGCTGCCAGACCCGCTCAGCCCGCTGCCGGTCTGGGGTCCTGGCCCTGCCCACATACATACCTTCTCCCTGGTTCTGGCCCATTCTCTTCCTCTCTCTCTGAACTGAGCTGAGAGTAGGAGTGCACTGAGCACAGGGCTGGGGGTGAAGGAGCAGGCTGGGGGTTGGGGTGTAGGGTCTGACCAGGAGCTAGAATCAGGGAGGGGGCTCAGGGTTGGGGCAGGAGGTTTGGGTGTGGAGCACTTACCTGGGCAGCTCCCATTTGGTGCGAGGGGTGCAGGTGGGAATGTGGGGGGGCGTGCAGGAGCTCCCATTTGGTGCTTAGGGTGGGGGTGGGGATGTGGGGGGTGCAAGAGTCAGGATGTGGGGGGTGCATGGGGTGGGGGCTGGGTATGTGGGGGGGTGCAGGTGTCAGGGCATGGGGTGTGGGGGGCCTGGGTATGTGTGGGGGTGCCAGAGTCAGGGCTGGGGTCATGGTGGGGGGGGTGAAGGAGTCAAGCAGAGGGCTGGGTGTGTGTGAGGGGGGTACAGGGCTCAGGGCAGGGGCCTGGGGTGTGTGCAAGGCACAGGGCTCAGGGCAGGGGTCTGGGGGGTGTGCGGGGCGCAGGGCTCAGGGCAGAGGGCTGGGTGTGTGTGAGTGGGGGTCAGGGCTCAGGGCAGGGGCCTGGGGTGTGTGCGGGGCGCAGGGCTCAGGGCAGAGGGCTGGGTGCGTGGGGGGGGCTCAGGGCAGGGGTCTGGGGGGTGTGCGGGGCACAGGGCTCAGGGCAGAGGGCTGGGTGTGTGTGAGGGGGAGCTCAGGGCAGAGGGCTGGGTGTGTGAGAGGGGGGGCACAGGGCTCAGGGCAGAGGGCTGGGTGTGTGTGACGGGGTGTCAGGGCAGAGGGGGTATGAGGAGGGGTCAGGGCAGGGGGCTGGAGGGGATATGCCCCTATTCCACACACACACACCCCTTCCCCAAGGCCCTGCCTCCACTTCTTCTCTGCCTCCGGCGGGAGCAGCAAGCAGGCTGACTATGCTCCTTCCGGACCCCCTCCCTCGCAAGGGCCATCACTGATCGGCCAGCAGGGAGGGAGAGGAGGAGGAGGGGGGCAGGAACTGAGCACACTGCCGGAAGAGGCAGGGGAGCTGGCAGGAGCCGGCAGGACCTTGTTTCTGCCCCTTACCCCCTGCCCCCGCGGGAGAGGGAGGGGGGGCGGAGGGCAGAGAAGAGCGAGCCGGGCTTGGCTGGGCAGGGCAGGATTTTTAATGGCACGATGCTGCCTGCCGGGACTCGGCAGGCAGCAGCGTGCAATTAAAAATCGGCTTGCGTGCCATCTTTGGCACGCGTGCCATAGGTTGCCGACCCCTGGTATAACACATTGTTGGAGAAGAAGCTATAAAAGTATAATTCAATATTAATGTTATTAATTGAAATAAAGATTCTCTGTTCTATACCATGGACGCAAAAGGTAGATTGAAAGGAGAAAGAGGAGTAATTAAACAGTGCACTCTTTACCTCACTATCTGGACTAGGCTGGATAACTTCCCAGGTCTGAGAGTCCACATCATAGCAGTGTAGTTCATTTGGCAATGTGTTATCTGCAGCACCACCAAACACATAGAGGTGGCGATCAAAGGCAACCATGGTGTGACCATATCTTCGCTGTGGAGGAGGAGGGGAGCCCCGAAGTAAGTGTTCAGTAGGAATTCGTGTCCAACTGAGACACAAGACATGAAACAAAGAGTAAATCTTTTACAACTCCTTTCTTCAAAATGAGTTTTGAAAATTAACTGTCTCAAAATCCCCAAAGGATTCTATCAATTAGAGATGGAAAACACCTATTACAATATACCCTAATCAAACCCTACCCCCACTGTTTAAATAAAATCAGTATTTTGGTAAGGGATCACAGTTTCTTAACATAATATGATTAATATTATTTGCAGCCACCAATTCAGCTTTTTATTACATTTGTAGTCAACCAGAGCCCAACTCTGGCAGACGTCAGGACAAGATACAAGACTTGCACACTTTGTTCAATGTTTGGGTGACTGGTTGGTTTATGTTGTATTGTGTTTCATTACTGTGGTGGTTTTCACAGATTCCTAGATTTTATATCCCATTATGATCATGTAGTCTGACCTCCTGCATAATACAGGCCTGAGAACCTCACCCAATAATTTCTACATCAAATCCATAACTTCTATTTGAGCGATAGCATATCTGGCTAGTGTGTCCTCCTTACGTGCTCAGGGTCAAACTGGTCATCATGTTTAGGGCTGGGAAGGAATTGTCCCCCAGGTGAGATTGGCAGGAACCTTGGGGTTTTTTTGACCTCTACAGCATGGAATGTGGATTCAGCTTGGGATCATCTGAGCTTATCTCACCTAATCAATTCCCTGCCATTGGCTCTGGGCACTGGTGACACCTTGGTATCTCTTGCTCTGTGTCTGTGGCACACAGTAGTTTAGTCTCCGGAGGACTGAAATGCTTAAGCCTAATTAAAGACTTTGTGCTTAATATAGGGGTATCTGGGTGAAACTGAACAGCGTTCGATATTCAGGAGGTCACACTAGATGATTTAATTATTCTTTCTGGCCTTAAACTCTCCGAAACTATGAAATTAAAACAATATCCAGTCCTTTCTCCCCCCAACAAAAAGGCCATCAGTAACTGTGGCAATAGTTGTAGTAGCAGTAGTTAAGCTACAGTGGCTGCTTTTCTGTTCCCCACTTTTATCTCTTTCAGAATTGTAGCCCAAAATTTTCAAAACTGAGTAGTGGTTTTGGGTGCTTCAGTTTTTGGGTGCCAAACCTGACCTTTCTGAAGGGGCCAGGTTTTCAGAGGGCAGGTGCTCAGCATTGCCTGATAATCAGAACCCTCAAAGATGTCTCAAGTTGGGAATCCAAAAATTGGGGCACCCAATCGCTAGTCAGATTTCAAAATCATGGCTTGGCCTACTGCTTCTCTATTGTGGTTCCACACCAGTGCTTTTAAAACTTCTTTCATTATACCACACTCAGATTTTTAATATTTAATAATTATCCAACGCCCAACCTAACTAACTGGACTGGGAGATCAAAAGTTTGAAATAAAAACCTTCCCACAAAAGCTGGACTCCACTGTTTGAAAGTGCGTATGTGTGTACGTGAGCAGGGATTCAGAGTCAGACTGCTTCCCCCCAAGAGCGAACTAGACATTTGCTTTTCACAGTTATCTCATTTCCTTGAACTGTAGGTTCATGTTGTTTCCCCTATCAGACACATATGGTATGAAATTCCTATGAGGGCTCCACATGGTGACAATGTCTAAGAACACAGACATCTGACGAAGTGGGTATTCACCCACATATGCTCCAATACGTCTGTTAGTCTATAAAGTGCCACAGGACTCTTTGTCGCTAAGAACACAGGAGCTTTCAAGTGCTGAATGAGGAAACCATGTGCACTCTTGATATTTCCTTTTTGTTTGGGGCCAAATGTAACAGAACATCTGAAAAGGCACTAGTCAAGATTTTCTAAATTGGTAGCTTGAAGTTACATTCCTAAATCCTTATATAGACACTTAAATTATCTGATTTTCAAAGATGCTGAGCATCTACAACGCCCATTGACTTCAGTGGGAATTGAGGCTGCTCAGCACCTCTGAAAATCAGACCCTTTCTAATTAGACATCTAGGTATGGATTGAGGAGCCTATTATTACACACTCAGATCTGAAAATTGTGCCCACTGGCTATTATTTCAAATGAATCAATATGAGTTTCTGTTCTCCTGTAGAAAAAAATTGTCTCTATCTAGCCAAAGCATATTGTCAAGCTATTGTATTATTGCTGACATATTATCCAAATATCAGCCTAATCAGTCCCCAACTAAAAATCAAAGAAATTAGAAATTAGAAAGAACTGCCTTTCTTAGTTATGAAATACAAACTGTTCCTTCTTCAATATCTTTCATTGTGTACTTTCTTCAACCTGAACAGCAGAATTATTACATGTATTTTACTTGAATCAAATGTTGGAACTTACATTTTTTCCTTGAATTCAAACTGAAAGAGATTATTGGTGATCTTTGCTCCACTCTGGCCAGAAAACACAAACATCTTGTCTTTGCAAACAGCCACAGGAAAATTACAGCAGGAAGGAGGGATCTCACCACTCTGTTCAATCTAAAAAGTAGCAAAATCCACACTAAATTATATATTTTTCAAACTCCATTGTAAGACTGTCTGAACATGCACACTGAAGGATTAACACAACCTCCTTTGGTGAAGAGGAACCATGTAGTGTGTGAACATAAATCATGTTTCCAGCTGACGATGACACACAGAGATTATAAATTTGGTTGAAGTGTGTAGATAGAGTCTTATTCACTTAATAGTGTAGTGTTGACTTAAACAAAGCAACTTGCCAAACAATAGTTAAAGTTGCTAAAAACAATTCAAGAGAAGATCAAAGAATCATAGAATCTTAGGGTTAGAAGAGACCGCGAGGATCATCTAGTCTACCCCCCTGCCAAGATGCAGGATTTTTTGTGTCTAAAGGTGTACCCTGAACATGCACTTATTAAAAAAACAAAACAAAACAAAACAAACTATTGACATCACAAGTTTAAGTTACATAAAGAATTCTGATACCAGCCTTAACACCCAAACTACGCACAAATACTGCAGAACAGAAACTGTCAGAACAGAAACTGTCAGCCCCACAGAGATACCCTGAAGAGGTAGTACAATTTTTAAGTGGAACCCTGAGGGTAGTGTGGCAAGGGGGAGGCCATGGTAGCATGATTCCATCAGAACACAAGCATTCTCCATACTAAATTCAGAAACCTCCAGACTGTTGAAGTTGTGCACATGTATACTTGTGAAACCAAGTATTTGTTGTAAGGTTTTATGAGACGCTGTGGTCTCATTTCCTTAAGCAGATTCAAAGTCACTGACAAAAATAGCCTCTTAGATACCCCACTACCTGGTCTAAAAGAAAGTGGGTCTGAGGAGTAATTAGCTGAAGAGAGCAGAATTGTTCTCCCAAATTGAGTATTAGACCTCGCTACCAAAACATGACAGTAATGCTGGATAAAAATACAAATAAAATGCCAGAAAAACAACCACACAACTATAAAAGAAACATTTTTAAAATGTGCTACATGGGCTGCTTTACATTTTACTGAATATGTTCTAAGACCTTCAGAAACTCATCAAGTCATGACAGATTTGTATGCAAATCCACTTAAAACTCTGAGAAAAGTGACTCTGCTCTGGGTTTGTCTGCAAACATCACAAAAAACCTAGGGGACTTACAATGGGTTTAGTTATAGTTTAATAACAGTCCCTGCTTATTTAAGATTGAAAATTCTTTGGGACAAGATGGACAAAATGTGGGAGACTAAAAATATCTCCATTTTACAGATGGGAAATCCAGGCACAAAGGTTTGCTCAAGGGTAACACAAAAAGTCTGTAGGAAAGGTGGGAACTGAACCCACATTTAAGCCCTAGCTCAGTACCTTAACCCTAAAAACATCCTTCCTCTCATATAACAGCATAGTTTCCTCTGATAAAGAGTGTATTTTAGGAAAAAATACTAATTAGGTGATGGTGATTGTAAGAGTAATTATTTTATGAATAAGATAGAATTAAAAACAATTAAGATGTCAAGAACCCATGTGTATAATAGGACAACTGGCTAGTAAGAGCTCTAGTTCAGAGAGACCACTCCGTTCTCAGGAAAGCATGCAACTTTTTTCAGTTCTTGGGACTAAGATAAGTTTTTTTTTAAATAGTCTATTTTTGCCCCAGCTCAAAAGGTGGAGTTCACAGGGGCTCTTTTCCAAGCCTGTGAAAGATTAACAACTAGATGACAGGTTTCAAGCAAATCAGAAGGTGATACTTTCTGTAAGATTTAAACCTCATGCAAGCACAATTGTAGTTGTGACACCATTTGCCAAATGTCAGTTGGGACCTTTACAGGGATGGCTAAGAAAAATGTGTGAGCGACAACTGATCAGCACAGAAATATAATAATTCCACCTCCAGATATTCAAGATTCCTTAAAACAAGATGGACAAATGTGAAGAATGCTTGACATTCATTCCTTCGCTCCTCTGATAACTTTCTTTACATTAAAAATTGAAGTTCTCATTTAATTAAATTTGAAAATGAATACAATTACACCTCTATCCCGATATAACGCTGTTCTCGGGAGCCAAAAAATCTTACCGCGTTATAGGTGAAACCGCGTTATATCGAACTTGCTTTGATCCGTCGGAGTGCACAGCCCCGCCCCCCTGGAGTGCTGCTTTACCGCGTTATATCCGAATTCGTGTTATATCGTGTCGCATTATATCGGGGTAGATGTGTATTACAGTAGTCTATGTTATTTATTTTGATACTGAATTCAATTTACACCATACACTAAGCCACAGCTCACTTTGAGGAGAACAGACATGCTCATGAGACAGAGAAGCAACAAAGGAGGAAAGAAAGGGCACAACAGTCCAGCCAACAACTATGTCTCCTCCAAGATAACAGCTGTCACTTCTGTGGGAAAATCTGCAGGGCACAAATTGGGCTCCTCAGCCACTTAAAAACCCTCCTTGGCATACATCGTCCTTGCATCGAGGGATAGCCGAAGAATGTCAATTTATCTTATGCTGTCTCCACATTCCCCAGCTTTCAGTGTGCTTGGGATTTTGTACTTGGCAACACAATTAATAGAAGTTATCAGAGAAAATATGGATGTTTTGGCAAGTGGGTAGAGGGAACTGGGGCTTTTAGCGCCTGAAGAAATATGAGAGACTGTTTGGAATTATGAGATCAAATTCACACTGTGCCACAGTGACAGAAACATTTGTGATTTCTAGATTGGTTATGATAACATACCATTCCTTAGAATGAAACTATCAACTTTGAAAAACAACAACAGATTCAGAACACAGCTACCTGCAAACTCAGGCTATAGACAGCGTATGACCCAAGTTCTCTACTCTCTTCACAGACTTTCCATTAAATACCCCATGCAGAATGGGGGAAGGAGAAAGATGTTGAGATACTGTGTTATGTGTTATCATTTCTGAGTGCCCAAAACTGTGCTAGGCATCTCACAGAAACAAGTATAGACATAGACTCTGCCCAGAAAAGCATTAAATATAAAGAACATAAGAACATAAAAACGGCCACACTGTGTCAGACCAATGGTCCATCTAACCTAGTATCCTGTCTTCTGACAGTGGTCAATACCAGGTGCTTCAGAGGGAATGAACAGAACAGACAATCATCAAGTGATCCATTCCCTGTTGTCCACTCCCATCTTCTAGCAAATAGAGGCTAGGGACACTCAGAGCATGGGGTTGCATCAAGCTTCAACTTGACACAAGTGAGAGTCAAAAAATAGATAAAAAGGAAGAGGAGAGACAAGACAAAGGATGGGGAGTCAATGGCAAAATCATTCAGGTCACAGTCCTAGGCACGACAGTAATAGAAATAATACATAATAATAATAGGGTTGTGTACACCTATTCATAATTATAGGATTTGGGTTGTTTTCACTTTTCTCATAGGCTTCAGAACAAAAGCAACTTTTCAGCGGCAATTCAAATGAGGAGATGGAGGCTGCCTCACTTGGCATTCCAAAAGGAGTAAGGAGAGATTGGGGCATAGATATAGGCGTGATGTAGGAAGCAAGGATAAGAAATTCAAACTTGATACACATTGCAATGGGGGGCCAGTGAAGTGACTTTAAGGGGAATTATATGATCAAAGCAATGGGTAAGAAGGGTGATTTTGGCAGCAGCATGTTGGATAGACAAGAGGTGATGTTAAGTTTAATGGCTGCTATGCCCCATTGTTCTGAGTGGAAATGAGGCCACACTACACTCGGTTAAAATGCTCACTTTCAAAATGGCCATTTCCTTCCATTGCTCCCAATGAAAGTGAAACCAAGCTACAATCAGGGAAGATGGTGGCCTCTTATGTTGCCAGGAGTCTGACATGAGAATATGACTGGCGATAAGAGCGTTATTCACCTTGTGCAGTAACTGAGGTTCTTCGAGATGTGTATGCCTGTGGGTGCTCCACTTTAGGTGACTGCGTGCCTCTAGTCAGAGAATTTCAACAGCAGTACCTGGCTGGGCTGCACAGGCGCTCTCCCCATCTTGCGCCTGTAGCAGCAGTTGATTAGCACTGTGTGGCCGCCCACCCCCATCAGTTCCTTCTCTACTGCAGAGGACTAATTAGAACTCCAAAATAGTGGGGAGGAGGGACGATAGTGGAGCACCTATAGGGACACACATCTCGAAAAAAAGACAGTTACCTTTTCCATAACTGGTGTTCTTCGAGATGTGTTGCTCATGTCTATTCCACAATAGGTGTGCGTGCTCGCCACGTGCACGGTGTCAGAAGTTTTTCCCCTAGCAGTACCCATAGGGGAGCACCCCTAGCGACCCCTAGAGTGGCACCTCCATGGCGTGATATAAGGAGCGCTGTGCGCTCCCCCCACCCTCAGTTCCTTCTTGCCAGACAACTCCGACAGAGGGGAAGGAGGGCGGGATGTGGAATAGACATGAGCAACACATCTTGAAGAACACCAGTTACGGAAAAGGTAACTGTCTTTTCTTCTTTGAGTGATTGCTCATGTGTATTCCACAGTAGGTGATTCCAAGCTATATCTGTTGGAGGTGGGTAGGAGTTCATAAATTCTCGGGACGGAGCACAGCCCTGCCAAACCTGGCATCTTCCCTGGTCTGGAAGACGGTCGCATAATGCAAGGTGAACGTGTGAACTGAAGACCATGTGGCAGCCCTGCAGATGTCCTGAATGGGGACGTGGGCTAAAAAGGCAGCAGAGGAGGCTTGCGCCCTAGTCAAGTGTGCCCTTAGAATCGATGGCAGAGGGATTCCCATCAGGTCATAACAGGTACGGATGCACGAGGTGATCCAGTTGGAGAGCCGCTGAGTGGAGATCGGCCGACCCCTCATGCGTTCGGCTGAGGAGATAAACAGCTGAGAAGAGTTCCTGAATGGCTTAGTCCATTCCAGGTAAAAGGCCAAAGCCCATCTCACATCCAGCTTGTGGAGGTGGCGTTCCTCACTGGACGCATGGGGCTTGGGGCAGAGGACCGGCAGGAAAATGTCCTGACCCATGTGGTAGGCAGAGACCACTTCGAGAGGAA